GAACTGGAAAAGAAATGAGTAATTTCTTTCTTTTTGTACTGTTACTGAACCACTTTAATCGGAAGTGTTGCAATAGAGAAAAAATATCTTAAATAGCTTAGTGTTTACATATTTACTTTGTCAGTTATTTAATATTTAAATTGATATTTCATTTACTGCACATGTGACGCCTGTCGTGCTCAGCATTATGACGTAGTGCAATATGTTTCAATCATACTATGTATTTTTGACTTTAATATTCAGATCTGAAATAAAAGAAATATATATCTATGAAACAATCTTCAAAGACGTCAAATTGCCTCTTTCTTTATGCACATCAGTTTCATTGTTTGTAACCATGTCTGTCACAGTGGGATGAGCAACATAAGGTGGTAAGACTTCATTCAAAAGGCTACGACACAGATATAAGCCTTTAATAAGAACCAACATAAACCTACAAAACGTCTATAAAGGCTTACTCTAACAAGCGTCAGTCATCATAGAGGCCGTTTATGTCCATTTTAATGTGAACGCATATTTGGATCATTCTACTGAATTAAAGTCAGAGCTGAAACACATTTGGGACTTTTAACTGATTTGGACTTTATACTAAAATCCTTTTGCTTTGAATGACTCTCTACCTTAATTATGTCTATTTTATCAAAACTAATGATTAAACATTCCATTTTTTCACTACCGAAACAATCATAACTCTACCCAAACTTTACCAAATGTTTCAATAGTGACAATTTTAGCTCATTTTGAGCTCAAAAACACAGTGAGTACATGACCGGAAAACACAGCTTTTGTTTTTAAAACATTCAAAAAGTACTTAATTACAAAAAATATGTTACAATTCTTAATGTTCTACACTGACTTTCAGACTTTCACATTTACCTCAAAACAATGGGGTCCAACTGCTCACCATGTGGTCTTGAGCGACAGTGATGCAGCCTCACTTCCTGCTCTAAAATGCAGGGGCGTGACTAAAATAAGCCTCAGCCTACAGACTAAAACTGTTTCAGTGGTGAAAAAAGTCTTTCAACTTTGCTTAAAAAAAACAAATAATAATAAAAATAAATAAAAATATAAGAAATATTTACAAGTACTATTTTCACAATTCACAATTTAGTGGTGAGACACCTCCCAATAGAAAGTACCCTATAGATGATGATTTTGTATATATTTGGCTTATAATGATCTCTATGAATGTCTTTAAATGGATCATAACATATCAATGTAAGATCTAAGATCTGAATACTTCATCTTTTTATACTGTGGCATCGCAGTTTGAGCTAATTTAGTAGAATGGTCTATACAGGTTGATGCCAGTTGTCATGAAAGTCTAATGTAGGTGTCGTAGCTGTGTGAACGCCACCCTTCAGTAAAGTCACCCAAGAATGTTAGAAAGTCTTTAACAAAGAAAATGACAATAAGAAATATTGAAGGTTCTATGCTATTTCTAGGTCACTATTCAAATTATAATGAGTTTGAGACTCTGACCGTGTTGAGGCCTTTGTACAAAAAGGTCAGCTGGAGTGCACACTGCCATTAAAGCAAATGGTGGGCATACTGAATACTGAGACATTCAGAACTTCATACAAAGGTTCTGCTTTTGACATATTGTTACGCTCATAATTTGTAACATTAATTTAGACTTAAAGTAGAGAAGAATGAAAAATAAAAGCATTTGCACTGTATAGAGAAATATGTACATTTCTGGGTGCCTCACATTTTACAAATTAAACAATAAAATCTGGCATTTTAAACTAAATAAAAAAGGAATCATTCTCGTTCATTGTTGTAAGTTGTAAAACTAAGACTGGAAGCTGACTCTGTTGAACCAGAGTGTTTAGGATTCTCCTGATAGAAATGCACCATAAAAGAATTTCTCAATGGCACACCAAATGACCTCACATCAGTTTAAACCTGAAAAATGTACTTATCATTTCCTTAAAAATGTAACTTACTACAAGGATGAATTTTAATTTTATTTTAAACACAGGTTGCAGTATTTTGTGTTCAGTCCTGCATTAGTATTTGAATTAAAAGTTTTTCTTTTTGATCCTGGGCAGAAGAGAGAATGACAAAATGTCTGTGTTCTTTATGATGTGCTTTAAAAGACCTTATTCGCTCTTTAATCTGGGTAACTCAACTTGATCCACAGTGAATCGTGGCGTTCAGGAGACATGTTGCTGGACAAACACGCTTTGCAAAGCTCTTTATCAGACAGTGGCCACCACAGAGGCTGTATTAAACATACACAGATAGTAAAATGTTCTCAACGTATAGACAAAGCTGCTCAGCTCACAGTGACAGATGCTGAAGTTTGCATACTGTATAAGCACTAGTAGTGGTACGAGGTAAGAAAGTGACTTTTAACTTAGTGATATACTCTAATGTATATGTCTACAGCTGGGATGTCCACCTTTGTCTTTTTTCAAACTTCTATACATAAACTTGGCTAAAATGTACATTGTTCTGTTTTGTATACTTATGAACTATTTACAAACTCATTCAGTTTGGTGTCTGGATTCTATGCATTTTTCTATTCAGCAACAATAAGGAGCATCTGATAATGTTATCATTTCTATTTTTTCAGCTTATTAGAGCGTCCAACACTATTAAAGTACAATACTGTATTATAATGTACCAGCCACAAGATAATAAACACTTACGAGGTTTTAAATTGAGCACTTCATTTGCTCCAGTCTGTTGACTGTATTGCTCAATGTAAATTGTATTGAGAGGCTAATATTTAATGATACAATATGTTATATTATTATGTAGAACATACTATAAGCTGTTCTGCATCAGCAAGTAATTATGAAGAGTTTTAATTTAATATACTTTTTTCAAAGTTATTATGAGTGCTGTTATTATAATCAGTTTTAAACAGCTGATGCTAATTAATATTTAGAAGCATATTTAAAAGCATTTTCACATAATAGCCCTCTTTCTCAGGAGTTGTGATACACTGTTGCTTAACTAAGAATGCACACCCATACTGTTGGAACAAGACCTTGTATCTCCATTTTTTTTTATTTATTTTTTTTTAGATAATTTGAAAAAGCAGGCTGGTCTGAATGGATCGATAGAAATTGCCCAAAATTACTGGGAAAAACATCTTAAGTTTAAAATCTATTAAAAGTAAAGAAAGTTTTTACCTTCTCCTGTAAAGTTAATGTTTTGGAGACACATTTCGTCCCAACACCAGCAATATGCAGTGGTTTGGCTGAAAACAAGTGAACACATCCTCTCCACACTTAAATATGGCATTTTCTGCACAATTTCTGTGTATTTGCTGAGTTTAGCAAACTGAAAAAAACAACATATAAAATGTAAAATGGGCTATAACTGTAGAGGATCTTTAAACTTATTTTCACTTAGAAAATCAACAACATGACCAGAGGTGCCCAAACTTTTGCACACCATACAGCACAACAGGATAAAAGTGTGGAAGAAAGATTATCTTTGTAAAAAGTGATTATGAAAGTGTTCTTGTCTAAGAGGTTTCTTGTTGCTCATTGCTGTTAGAATTCTCTTCAGCCCTCATTAACACCGTTATCACTCTTTGCATGAATGGACATTTGCATCCAGAGACTTTTCTTCCCCGGTCTCTTACTCACTGAGTTCATAATCAGGAAGGAGGAGCAGGATGAGAGTGCGGTCATGGCCTATAGTTTTATCAGTGATAGAAAATGGACTAAAATATACTTCATACAAAAGGCTGCAACATAAAAGGCAAAATGTGAAGTTGAAGCTCCAGCATTTTATTTAAAGGGGAATTCCACTGATTGTTTAAAATTGAAGACAAAGTCATTCAGAGTGGTTTGGTGTGAAACAGTTCAGATTTCTTTACAGTGGTGGTGATAGGAACCAGGCGTCGCCCTGACTACAACACAAATATAGACATTTTATTTACTATCCAGAACCACCAGTGAACCTACACGAGTTTTATATGGAATGTTGATGATGGAAAATAGTGGAAAATCTGAAATAATAAGTTTTCTTTGGGGCCTATTTTGCCTTACATCACACTGCATGTATCCATCCACTATGAATGGATTAAAATACACATAATAATACATGATAATCATAAATCAATGTCTCAGACATCAGGCAGTGAATTCATAACCATTTCATGTAGTGAACTTTCTGTGAGGGAGCTTTTAGAGGTGGACATCTGGTTCCTATCACCACCACTGTGAACAATTCTGACTCAGCAAGTTTCTCTAGAACAGAACGTTTCATACCAAACCACTTCGAATGACTCTGTTTACATCTTTACCTTTTAATTATGTGGGAAATATGGAAATCTGAAAGTCATAGAAAGTTATGACATGAAATAGTTATGAATACACTGTCTGATGTCTGAAACATTGTTTTATGATAGTTTTGAGGATTTTTGGCCTTAAAATCCATTCATGCTGGAGGGATACATGCAGGGTGTTTAGTGACTCACAATAGTTACCAAAGAAAACTTAAAAACTATTTTAGATTTATCACTATGTTGCCATCATCAACATTCCATATAAAACTCATGACTTGTGTAGGTATTCTGGTGGTTTTGGATAGTAAATAAAACGTCTATATTTGTGTTGTAGTCATGGCGACCCCTGGTTCCTATCACCACCACTGTAAAGACATCTGAACCATTTCACACCAAACCACTCTGAATGACTCTGTTTACATCTCAGATTTTGAAAAATCAGTGGAATTCCCCTTCAATATCCCTTTGACAAAGCTTGGAACAAAATGTTGGAGATTTTCATTCGTATTTATTTAGGTTATTGTATTGGAAGTATTTACATTAGCTGTATTACGAGCTTCCGTCTATTTTCTACCGTTGATAAAGCTGTAGAGCTGCTCTTTGTCTATCCTGATCTTTCTTTATTGAATATAAATGCACTCTTTTACAGCTCAGTGGGGGGAGAAGTCACTGTAGGCAAATGTCCACTGATGTAAAACAGTGATAGTGCTATTAATAAGGAGCCCAAGGAGACGAAGCACAGTGTTTCAGGATCAAGCTGACAGGCTGGTGTGGTCATTTTACTGCATACCGTCCTTAAACATCTACAACTTTCAATTAACAATAAACTCAAACTGTCTCACTCTTTTTGCTACAGTCAGTCCTCAGACTAATGGTGAAGATGGTGACTGTGATGGTGAAGACACTCCTCATCCTCACGCTGGTGGCTTCCTTGAGTGCAGCAACGGTAAGTTCTGATTTTCAAGGTGAAACCATCAGGTCACCACCAAATACATCACAAGCTCAGTGTTTATGAGCACTGTTGCTTTCTCCCTCCTCAGAATGAAAGTTTTTGTGTGGAGATTGTGTTAAAAGGTTCTAGATTGTAAGACATAATTTTTAGAAATTATAAGCACAAATAAGAAAAATAATGAGAGACGTTACTTACTAAACAGCTTTCTGAGGCTACTACTTTTAGGTGTCATATAGAACTCTTTTCAAAAAGGTTTTATATAGAACCATACATTCTCCATTATTTTGAAGAACGATTTCATAATACAAAGAACCCTTTAATCATGCTAAGGGTTCTTTGAGTGTTTACAGTTCTATATAGACCCACTGTATTTGCTAAAGAACCTTTGAAGAACTTTGTTCTTAGAGAAAAGTGTTCTATATAATACCGAAAAGGTTGTTTATCTAGGAAGAACCTTTTTAGGTGCGGTATCGAACTGTTTTTTTAAAAGGTTCTTTCAAGAACCGTATGCACCAGCTCACCCAACATAGATAAAAACAGTTTAACCATGCAAATAAATAAATAAATACACATTCAATTGGTTCATTAAGCTGGTTCTATATAACCACAGACTTCACTAAAGAATGCTTAAAGAACCATTTTTTACGTGTGTAGAATACTGCAGTACCAGTTGAGGGTAACCTCTTAGAAAACTCTCAGCAAAAAGGGCTCTATAGTATGAAAAAGGTTCTATGACTAATAATAATAGAGGAACAATTTTAAGTGCTACATACAACTGTTTAATCGTTCTTTAATAAACCAGATACAACAGGTTGTCCATCACAGAGAAGAACCATTTAACCATGCATAGAGCCATCTGTACATCCAAGTGGTTCTTTAAATTCTCACGGTTCCATATACGATATATGATTATTCAAGGGTTCTTTAGTACAGAAAATTGTTCTATGTAGAATCATGAACACTCAAAAAACTCTTTGCACTGGATTGATGGAGAATGTGCTGTAGATGGTTCTATGAAAAGGTTTCTATGTAGCACCTAAAAGCGTTCTTCTATTGTTGCAAGCTTGACATAGTAACAATAGCAGAACGCTTTTTGGTGCTAAAGAGAATCCTTTTCAAAAAGGTTCTTTATAGAACCATCTACAGCACATTCTGCAACAATCCAAAGATTTATTAATGATGCAAAGAACCCTTCAATCATTAAAATTCAAAAATTAAAAATTGTAAAATTGTAAAACTGTAATTCCACCACTTTTTCAAATATCTGCATCATTTAATGGTTAAGAGGTAAACAGATACATATATATAAATCTCTTGTAGCTCCATCTTGCTGGTGTACAGTTAGAGACTGTAGCTCATCTGTTGATGTGCAGCTTGTGTTAACCATCCTCTAGGCCTTCGTCACTGGTCAGTTTCTGACCACAGAGCCACTCTTGGTTGGACATTTTTGGGTGGTGGTCCACTCTCAATTTAGCAGTGACACTGATGTGTGTAAAACCCCAGCAACTTTGCTGTGTCTGAAATGGTCTTTGTCTGAAAGCACATGCACCCAAATGATATCTGGTCAACAGTGGTCTTGTGGTCAGAAACTGACCGATGATGAATGGTATGCAGGGGGGCTGATAAACAGCAACAGATGGGCCACAGTCTGGACCTGTACAAATACATAGTGGACTTTAAAGGTAGGTGAAGCTCATAAAGTGGCCAGTGAGAGGCTGTATAAGGTATGTGGACATAATGAACGGCCGGCTCATTGTACATATTTCCTTCTTTTGCAGAAACCCGATGAGCTGCTGCCATTAAACTTGGCTCCGGACTCCATCAATGATGATTTTGAAGGCTGCAAAATTGAAAATTTAAAAGATATTTTGGGTGATTTAGTTAAAGTACAGCTGCAGACCAACAAAAAGTTAGAGGAGGCTTGGAACAAGTTTGGAGACACTGAAGATTATGTGGAAAGAGCCCTGAAAGTGTACTCAGACAAAGAGAATGGCATTTACGCAGCACTCAACGAACAGATGCGCACAGGCAGAAAAGACTATGAATCTTGTTGCACCAGCAACAATGTATGATAACGTTTCGACGCACCAACATCAATTTCGCAAGAAGTGTTGTAGGCCAGGAGATGCGGTTCGGCAGCATTGCATCGTCTTCAACCAGAGACGATCTGGTGCAGTTTGGAAAGAACTCTTGCTTTAAGATCAAGACGTGTCTTGGTGCAGACATTTCCAAACTGTCTGTGCACCCAGACGAGAAGGAGGTGCTGATACCTCCTTATGAGAAGTTTAAAATTACAGCTGTTGAAGAAAACAAGCTGGGGTATGATGTTGTTTACTCACTGGAGAGTGCTGGAAAGTTTAACAACATGAAAAATGTCTTGCTCAGTTTTCTAAAAAAAATTAAAGGCTAAGTTATGGATTTTGAATACTGTGTGTCCCAAAGTGTTTACCTGCAGTGTTAACTCACCTGGCTGCACAGTGGACACCTTAAATAAAGAATTAGTTATGTTCATGTACATCAGACTGTGTTTTCTTCAGTTCATTCCTTTATTGCTTTTCCTTGATCCCTCCTTTCATCATATATGTGTGCTGGTTCAAAGTCAAAGTTAGAGTTAAAACACTTCTCTAATGTGTGGCTAAAATAAGGCTCCGCCTGCGGACTAAATCTCTTCAGTAGCAATATGAACACATGGAACAACATTTTTCGAATAAAGTTTTGTTTATTTTAAAATTAAACTCATGATCAATTCAAAATTTTAAAAGAAATAAAAAAAATAAAGAAAAATACAAAAAATGTATTATTTTAACAAGTGTGAATTTAGAATTTAGGGGTTAGGGTTTGGGACAGACACCTCCCATCAGAAAGTACCCTATAAATGATGATTTTGTATATATGTAGCTTATTACTATCTCTATTAATTAATGAACCCTCAACAAGTCTACATTTGATTTATGTCAACATCCACCCACTTTAGTCAGTTAATAAACCTGTACAGATCTTTATTGCCTGACACAGGTGTGTTGGGATACAACACTAAGAAGTGGCTAATCAGATCTACTTAAAAAATTACTTCATGTAGTAACAAAGTAAATTAACTAGTTTTATTCAGCCTAAATAAATACTTTGAATGAACGATTCTTTCAATCATTGAATAAAACTAGTTCAATTGCTTGTGACCACATGAAGTCATTTTTTAAGTAGATCTGATGAGCCACTTTTTACAGTGTACAGTAACCATCTTACTGAGAAGACGTGACAAAATAAGGGCCTTTTTTAAAGCGATAGTTCAGCCAAAAATAAAGTGTGCACAATTGTTAGCAAATAATCAATATACATTTAGCACATAATGTCTTTTTATGATCTTATTGAAGTCATGTGTGTGGAATATTTCTGACAAAATAAAAAAAAGAGTGGAAAGTGTGACAATCAGTCCCAGTCATTCCTGTATGAGTGTAACATGAGGTCAAAACAAAGCGCACAAATAATAAGAACCCAGCTAGAGAACACAGCAGAAATAACAGGTGTGAGCAGCTGATGATGACTGTGAGTAACAGACACAGACATATTCAGACGTTCATGCTGACACTAATACTGAGGAAACAGTGACCTCTAGTGGAGACTCCTGGAATCACTCAATATCCTAGATTTTCCTGTTTATTTACTTTTTCCTGAGATGAACTTACAATACTTTAGGATAGAAATGAAGAAAAAGGGGAAGTTTATTTCTCACTCTGACTAAACAGGGCTGCCTTTCTCCTTTAAAGACTTATTTCACTGGAATGTGAAATAA